ACTGCGATTTTCAATGACTACTTATTTTTCTCCAGCTTTAACATCGGTATCGATATCGGTTACATGAGTTTTAAAATATCGGCATATCGGATATCGGCCAAAATCCCAATATCGTGCATCCCTAAAACAAAGTGTTTCGGTCTAACCGTCTCCACTGTTCTCTGAACATGGAGCTATGCTAGGCTCCTAAATGAATCAACATGCAGGAAAATAAAATCCAGTGCAGTTCTGCTCTTAATAAGCAGACTGGTCTCAGTTTTCTCCCTGACCTCAGCCTCCATGATGCTGCTGGCCTCTGATGTTCTCTAACAAATCTCAGAGGTCCTTACAGAACAGCTGGATCATTTTCACCGTTAACCTGACGTCTGAAAACATTTAAAGCATCGCATCGTTTCCTTTCTACCTCCCAGCGGTGCACCTCATGTGTTGGTCTGTCAGATAGAATCCCACTGAAACGACCCGTAGAGACTACGTTGACTAGGCCCTGTGTTTGCATGTCTTCCTGCTCACGTCTGCTCAGTTTTCAGTCTCCATCCCTCCACCGGCTGCTAGAGCTGCATGTCTTCTGCATCTTTGTCCAAAGTCTCTCCAAACCTGTCCTCCTCTCTCTTGTCTTCTCTCATGTGTGGCCAGGCCCTAGAGAGGCAGAAAGAGTACTTTGATTGCATTAGGAATGAGAGAGATGAGCTCAGAGATGAGCTCGCTGACATCAAGGCGAAGTCCAAAGCAGGAGAGGTAGGTTCACCACTGGCCCCGAAAAAGGAGACGATGAATGATTTTGGCTTTTCTCTGCTGTATTTTTCCTAATGAACTCTTCACTCTGTTGATGTTCTTCTGCTTTAAACGTAATCTCATCTTTGTTAAGATTAATTCCTTTTCAGCAGCCTCTACTTTTCTTTTGTCTAAATAATAAATCCATCGTTCAAAATGAATAAGAATCCAACCGTGAATTTCGTTACATCATTTCATCCGTTTATTTTCTACAGCTTGTCTGTTAAAGTCACAGGAGTGATTAGATTAACCAGAGTACCTGGAGAGAACATGCAGGGAGACCCAAGAGGGGGGAATTGAACCCAGAACTATTTGCTGCACAGTAACAGCCCTACAGAACGGTTCCACCGTGCAGCCTTCAGGGATTCAGTGGAGATTAAAACCCCCCATTAGGAAAATTGCGCTTAATTTAATACGAGATTAAAAAAAACCCCACCATCATCCAGGCAGCATATGTTCAGTTTCTGCCCAAATATTTTCGTTTTGTTGAGGATTTTTGTAACAATTAGGATTATCCATTGTATGAACTACGTTTGTTCTCTGCTTCCAAACTCAGCATCTTTTCATCCATTCCTGAGATGAGAAGTTTGAGAGGCGCTCTGAGGCGTTTTGACTGGATTTGATGAAACTTTAAGCCTCTTAGTATAAAATTTATATTTTGATTGAGATGAGAAATCTGCTTCCTGGTCTGTTGAAGTACCAATAGTTTGCATCCAATCATTTAATCAAACGGTCTTAGTTTTTGGGAGTATATAAACTCACGAATGAGCTTGAGAATGGCTTAGTCTCCATTTAAACCCAGGTTTAAAGCCTTGCAGGGCAGATTAAAGCCCACTGCCAACATTAAGACAGAAAAAAGAAAAGGGAAAAAAAAAAGTCAGTTCAGGTGTTTTATTACGGAAGAGGATTAGGGCCATTGAAAAAAAAAAAGTTAGCTGATTTTTTTTATTTTATTTCAGTATAGTATGGGGAAAAAGTCGGAATTCTGACTTTTTTTTTTAGAATTCTGAGAAAAAAGTCAGAACTCTGAGAAAAAAGTCAGAACTCTGAGAAAAAAGTCAGAACTCTGAGAAAAAAGTCAGAACTCTGAGAAAAAAGTCAGAATTCTGACTTTTTTCCATATTAAACTGAAATAAAGTTTAAAAATCGGTTAACTTTATTTTTTCTCCACTGGCCCTAATCCTCTTCCGTATTTTATAAAATATGAGAATCAGGAAATTGTCTATATACCAAACTGAACGATTGTTCTCTACTTCAAAAAACACTTTAAAATTTAAAATGGAAAAATTTTCTATTTTTTGTATATATATTTTTATTTAAAAAATTCTATGTATAACATGGATGCATTAAAAACCTCATTTTATTTCAGTGTTAAATTCAGTTTAAAGTAACAGATTATAATAAAAAAATGTCTCCGGATCTTTACTGGTTGAGGATTTTCTTTATTCTGACCCCCTACTATAGTGTGTACAAAACAAAATTTCATTTTGTGCAGCTTTCTGACTGTAAATGAGCAGCAGCTTAGCAGTGAAATTAACATTTCAGATTTATAAAGTGCATAAATGTACATTATCTGTATGGTTTCAGGAATGAAAAATCTTTATCAGGGCTTCCCTAATTCAAACGGCTCTGGTTTTTATCCCTGCTGATTTATAATGTTGTTCTTTCAGAAACACGGTCTGGTCATCATCCCTGAGGGAACGCCTAACGGAGATGTCAACCATGAGCCTCCTTCCTCAGGAATCACTCTGGTCACTCAGGAGGCCGCCCAGGTGCTGGAGTCTGCAGGAGAGGGTCCGCTAGGTGAGGGTCTGCCGTCTGATCAAACCTCTCGCCTCAGTAGCAAAGAAGCCTTAAAAACTGTGGGACGCATGTTTGCTCTAATGCAGACGTCAGGCTACGGAAGCTGGCAGAGGAGAAGGACGAACTTTTGGCTCAGATCAGGAAACTAAAGATCCAGCTGGAGGAGGAGAAACAGAAACACTCAAAGGTCGGAGATGCGGGGGATGGAGAGAGTTTGGAGAACGGTACAGATCTGCACTTTATTGAGATGCAGAGTAAGTTCATATCCTCCTGTAGATAAGTCTTCATGATAAAAACAGATTTCAGACTCATTACTCTGATTTTTATCCTTTAGGAGACGCCAACAGACAGATTAGCGAATATAAGTTCAAGCTTTCTAAGGCGGAACAAGAAATGGGTACAATGGAGCAAAATGTAAGTAACCTTTGGATCTGGATCCTAGTAGGACTAAATATGATTAGCATGGCAGCGTAGCCTAGCATGGAGCAACACATTTCAATCCTCCTGTTCTCTGAGGAGGAAAATGGCTGCCAAGCAGCTGCTGTTTTCTAACCTCTATGGCAACACCAACAGGTCAAAATTATTCACAACCTGCTGAGGGACTGCTCTGGGTTCGGCATCATTCAGAAAATCCTAACTTAGCATATTTGTCAGGAACGTTAAGAAAATGTCTTTGCTTGACCAACTGCTGACATAATAACAGAATAAAAAAACACCTTTATCGTCCCTCAGTGGGGAAATCCATGTGCCCCAGCGGCAAAATGAAACGAACGCAACGTGCAGCTGATTAGTTTGTTTTAAATGGTCTATAAAATGTTTTTGGATGTTTCTGCATTAAAAAAAAAACAAAAACTTTGAAGAGAACAAGAAAAATGACAACCTAACTGCTTAATGTGGTAATAAAGTCTAACAGCAGCTGGGAGGAAGGATATATGACGGCGCTTCTTTGTGCATTCATGATGCAGTTTCTACAAGACTAAAAAATGGAACATTCTTTGTTACTGAAGTTTTTAAAACACATTCTCTTCAATTCCCAACATACAGGGAACAGATTTTAACAAGCAAATAAAAATCAGAATAAAAGTGAAGCTTCTGATAATTTTTGCCTATTTTTATGTCTCATGAAGCCGAAAAAAAGTTAGTTGTTTTTCATCAATGCTTTTTTTGACCACTTGTTTATTTAATGGAAGGTTTCTGTATCTATGTTTACAACATCTGTTAGACATTTAAGAGCTAAATAACAGGGGAAAAAAACATATTTCTTACAATAAGTGGGGGGTCTGTGTGTTTCGTTTGGTAAACATGTTCATATTTCTCTTTGTTCTGCAGGAAAAACAAACCTGAAAGGAAAAAAATCAGTCTAATCCTGATTGATGCTTTTCTATCAGTGGCTGGTGTTTATTCATTAAGGTTTGGAGGTAAAATGAAGTCCTTGTCTGTCTGTCTCTGTAGATTAGCAGACTTGAAGGTCAAGTGGCGCGGTACAAGGCAGCGTCCGATAACGCAGAGAAAGTAGAAGACGAGCTCAAAGCGGAGAAGCGGAGACTTCAGAGAGAGGTAAGCTTTCTGTATGGAAGTAAATCTGTGTCGCTGGGATTTGAATTAAAATGCCACTGAAATTAAAATATTGTATGTTTGAACTTACTGTTTCAGTGTTAAAATATATTCAGAACACATTTTTGACCTAAAAAAAAAATTCATTATTTCTACACAGTTGAAATTGCATTTATTTTCTCTTCAAGCTAAAAATTCACATTACTATTTCAGAGTGATTACATTTTCAATACTTATTTTTCAGTGTTAAAAAAAATCTGCATATAAAAAATTCAACCTTTCATAATTCAAACTCAATATTTTCAGCCTCCTGAGATTCAACTGGCTCTATTTCACCGTCTTAAATTCGGCGTCTAAATTCAGTGTAAAAAGGGAAGGGTTACTTCAGGTCACAGACGTTAGCAATGGGTTGTGGCGTCCAACACCCAGCCAATCCCGTTACGTTTTCTTAGTCACGTGACGTGACGCTTGTGGAGCTCATATGGAAGGAAAACCAGCATGACGGAGTATCATTTTAACATTCCTATAAGCCAAAAACAGTTTGCTATTGTTTTTAATGCTATTCTACCAGGCGTTATGTTATTCAAAGGTCAGCCTTCTCTATTCTCCAAAGGCCCGAGACCTCCAACTAAACTAACTGACACGTATGTAGGTAAATTGTGTTTTCAACCTAAATCTCCTAAAAATAACAAACATATTCGTACTTTATTCCAAGCAAACTCAATTCCAGTTCCTTACGTAATTTTAGTCTGGTCTGGAGTGGCCTCAGAGGTATGCTGGAACAAAACTTGGTCTTTACCTAATAAATATTTACTAGTAAACAAGGTTAAAGTGGTTTCCTTTAAGATCATTCACCGCTGTTATCCAGTAAAGTCTTTTTTGGTTAAATATAAAAAGGACATTGATATCACTTGTACTTTCCGCAACATTTACTCAGAGTCTCTCATCTGTTTTGGTCCTGTGAACACACCAGGCATTTTATCTGTCTCTTCATTCTGGACAATATTTATGATAAATTTGAACTTTATTTTCAAGATGTTTTATTTGGAATCACAAAATATAAAAAAAGAACTTTCTGAACATTTCTTCTTATGTAATCTGTTGTTACTGTTGGCCAAGTTTTATATCCACAAATGTAAAATTATTGTGACTAAACCCTCATGTATTTCTTTTCTAAAGGAAGCAACTACTTATTCTTCTACATTGTCCTCCTCCAATAATAAAAAAGCTGCTAAAACTATAACTTTATGCTCTAAATTTAAAGTATTTATATATTCCTTTTATATGCTTCTATTTACTATTACTTCTTTTACTTTTATTTAATTACTTTTTATTTTATTTATTTATTTATTTTTATTTTTTTGTTCAAACCCCTGGTGATTGTTCACTGTAAATTGTATTTTTTTTTCTGTATTATAAAGTTTTTCTAATAAAGTTGATTTAAAAAAACAAACACACAGCATGAGGGAGCTGGTCATGCAAGCTAACGCTAACTCGAAAGCTAACGCTAACTCAACTACAGAAAAAAGAAAGTAATAAACTGACCGTTGAGTTAGCATTAGCTCTTTG